GTGACCCTTGGACTCCCAGAAGTGCACAAGTTCAAGGCCAGCTGGGTAACTTCATGAGTTTCGTTTTCTTGTTTTTCGGTTTTGGTTTTGGTTTTGGGGGATTTTTTTGGTCTTTTTGACAGGGTCTCACTCTGCAGTTCAGGCTGGTCATGAACTCACTTTGTAGCCCAGGCTGGCCTCGAACTCGAAACTATCCTCCTGCCTCAGCCTCCTGAGTGCTGGGATTATAGGCATGTGCCACCACGCCTGGCTTTCTTACCCTGTTTTTAATTAGGCTGGCTTACTTGTGGGATCTTGACTCAAAATTGTTGGTTGTTTTGAGACAAAGTCTCACTGTGCAGTTGAGGTTGACCTTGAACTCACTACATAACCCTGGCTGGCCCCAAACTCCCAGTGATCACCTGCCTCAGGCTCCCAAGTACTAGGGTTGCAGCCCTGTGCCACCAAGCCTGGCCTCTCTTTTTTTTTTTTTTTTTTTTTTTTGGTTTTTCTCCGGTACCGGGAACCGAACTCACGACCTTGCGCTCTTCTACTTTTTGACTGGTTTTTTTATTCTCTCTTGGTGGATCCTCCTCACCTGCCTGTCTTCTTAGGGTTAATGTGACTCAAACTTTATCCTTATGGGTAAATTCTTTCAATCCCTTCTCTATGCTTATAATCTGTAAGTGTGTGGCTCTTTTACTGATTTCCGCACTGTAGATCCGTACATGTAGTTGCTCACTTGACATCTCCACATAGGCATCTCAAACTTTATACGTCTGAAACGGAACTTGCATCCCATCAAACCAGCTGGCTGTCTTCCCTGTGTCTATGAATAACACTGTTCTACCAGTTGCCTGGTCCAATCGTATATGTACAAGTAACTGTTTGAATATCACTTCCCATTTCCTTTGGGTGTGTACCTGGGAATGGGACTTCTGGGTCACATAGACTGTCCATATTCACCATTTTGAGACACCACCAAATCTTTCCCCTTTGGCTGTGCCATTTTACATTCCCAGCAACAATGCATTAAGGTTTTTCTAAGCATCTTCTAATTATATCTTTTACATTGAAGTCTGTGCTCCTTTGGAGGTAATCATTGTATAAGATGTGAAGTTTAGGTCAGGGCCACTTTTTTGGCCTATATGTATCCCTTACCTCAGGGAAATGTTTCTAAAATGAGAGTGCCATTTAAAAGCATTCTGTAAAGATCTATATAGTTAAACTCATTTTATAGAGTTTTATTTGTTCCTCTCCGTTTTTGTTACATAGTCAAGTTTTGAATAGAAGTAAAGCTGTTTCATGATTCTGATATAAATGTGTTCTTTAAGGGCCATTATCGGTGCTAGAGTTTATGCCTCCCCTCTGCCTCCTGCACTTGACACAGTAAGTCAAGGGCTGATCTTTTTTTTTTTTTTTGGTTTTTCTCCGGTACCGGGAACCGAACTCACGACCTTGCGCTTGCCAGGCAGGCGCTTTTGCCGCTGAGCTAAATCCCCAGCCCCCTCAAGGTATATTTCTACAAACCTCTTAGAACTTAGATTTTAAGTGGAAGTCTTTTTTCACTGACATTGAAATAAACATTGTCAACCTCTCTTTCAGATCCATCATGTTACAGAAAATGGAGGACTTTATAAAAGACCGTTTAATGAAGCTTTTGAAGAAACACCCATGCTGGTTGCTGTGCTCACATATGTGGGATACGGTGTCCTCACCCTCTTTGGATATCTTCGAGATTTCTTGAGGCACTGGAGAATTGAAAAGTGCCACCATGCAACAGAAAGAGAAGAACAAAAGGTAATTGTTAGAGAACCCTTGATTCTGTACATAGAAGCCTTTTATAGAAATCTTTGTCTTTTCACACAAAATATTTTCCTTAGCAGTATGAGTGCATGTTGAAATAAATACAAATATTCCTCATGTAATGACCTACCTGTTTAACAATTGTTCAGACTTAGGACCTGCTGCCTGGACTTGTGACCTTTGTTTTTTGGTACAGTACACCTTGTTTATACAGCACTATAATTTTTGGTGATTTTATTACACAGTACTATAGTTTTATATTCTGTAACAAGTATAGTACTGCACGTAAGCATTATGCAAATAAAAGCAAAGTCATCAAGTTGAAATTTCCTTTCACCATTTCTTTGTTCTGAATATTATAATGTGCATTTTATGTCCAGTTGCTCATTTAACAACTAATTCAACTAATGACCTATTCTCAGGGAGGGAACTCGGTCCTTAAACAAGGAGTGTCTGCATCCAAATGCTGTTAAGTGGAAACGTCCCACCAGGAAAGCTAAGAAATAAGCTTAGAGGCATGTGGAGAAATAAACGCATGTAAAAGAACACTCTAACAGCTAGATGAGATAAGCAACACTTTTCCTTTTTCATGGGTTAGAAAGTGAAAGTTTTAAAAAAAATGATCCGAGGGAGCCTACTTGTTTATGCCCTCAGGAACAGGAAGTGCCCAAGCCACGCTCTTCCTGGCCTGGCCTCCTTCTGTGTGCACATTTCATTTGCATTCATCTGCAGGGAGTGGCTTCTCCTGATGGCCTTTCTTCTGAATGCATTGTGCAAATCCTGTAGTTATCTGGTTTACAGACTAGTTCTTCTCTCAGCCAAATAAGCCTTAAAACAGAACGTGACTGAGCCATTCTCTTTACAGTAGAAAACAGCCTAGTTCTAATAATGGAAACCAGTGCTGGGGCCAGGGATATAGCTCAGTGGCATAAGTGCCTGCCTGGCAAACGCAAGGTCCTGAGTTTGATTCCTGGTACCCCCACACACACCCCCTGCCCAAAAAAGAACAAAGCAAATGCTAATAGTTGTGTTTAGGGAACGGACCTCATTCACGTCACTGTACTTCTCTCTGAATATTCCTTTGTGCCTTTAAAAGTGCCTAATTTTACAAAAATTAAATAAATTGCTCTTGGCATGTGAATTACGGAGGGGTTGTCTTCCAGCTTAGGGAATGTACCAGATTAGAGGAGGACTGATGATGGTAGCCTTATTGTTCACAGAGCTTTCACTTTTGAAGGGCGTTAGAGGAGAGGCAGGTCTGGGGGTGGCAAGGTCATCACTGAGGCAGAGGCCAGTGAAGGAAGGGAGGGGTCCATTAAGAAGACACGGGGAGGACCAGGCACTGTTTCACTTCGCTATAGTCCCAGCTACTTGGGAAGCTGAGGTAGGAGGTCAAACACAGCAAAACCATGCAAAGGACTTTGTCAGCTACTAAGAAGACAGAACCACCCAATATATGTGTGGGTTGAGAGTTCTGTCGGGAGAATTCCGATCAGCCATCCTTCTCCTGTATCTCAGCCATGTTGTAGCCCCAGCTCCGTAAGACTGCTATCCTGCTCATTGCCCTGAAATACCTGTAAGTTAATTTCATTAAGAAAGTGTTTTTTAGGGACTCGTGATAAAAGTTCAGTGGTAGAACACTTGCCTAGTATGCACAAGGCCCTGGGTTTAATACCCAGGACTTCTATCAACCAACCAATTGATTAATTTTTAAAAATACCTAAAGCTGCTAAAGATCTGTATTCAGCCCAACATGGTGGCACATGCCTATAATTCCAGCACTCGGGAGGCTGAGGCAGGAGAATCACCATGAGTTTGAGGCCAGTCTGGGCTACATAGTGAGTTCAAGGCCAACCTGACCACATAGATAGACCCTGTCTCAAACAACAAACTAAAGAAAAAAAGATCTGTATTCAGAATTTAGTCAAGAGGGAAAACATTTTCTTTTTTGCTACTTGTTTTCTCTTTAATTCAGGGATTACTCAGTGAATTTTAAGTACATCAAATGCACTAATTTTATTTATTTATTTATTTATTTATTTATTTTTTATTTTTTGGTTTTTCTCCGGTACCAGGAACTGAACTCACGACCTTGCACTTGCCAGGCAGGTGCTTTGCCGCTGAGCTAAATCCCCAACCCTATTTATTTATTTTTATTTAGGGTTTTGTTGTTGTTTTTGAAACAGGGACTCACTATGTAGTTTAGGCTGGCTTTGTTTTTTGTTTTCTTTTGTTTTGTTTTTTTTTTCCGGTACTGGGAATTGAACTCACGACTTCGCACTTGCCAGGCAAGTGCTGTGCCACTGAGCTAAATCCCCAGCCCCGTTTAGGCTGGCTTTGAACTCACTATGTAGCCTAAGCTGGCCTCAAACTCACAAGAGATCCTCCTGCCTTAGCCTCCCAAGTGTAGGGATAAACAGGCGTGTGCCACCACGCCTGGTGTGCTAGTTTTTGGTTTTTTTTTAAAGGGCAGTAAAACTACCATTTTTCAATTTTGTCTGGTTAACATTTAGAATGCCTTTATTGTAGTTGTCCTGCCCATAGTGACAAATGGTTTAACAATATGCATCTTTATAATACTACAGGTAGTTAGGTTAGATAGATATTAATACACATTCAGAGAAGGACTGGGCCCTCAAAGAAGTCAGCACAAAAATAGGCATCATAATGGTGGCTAGAGGGGCATCTGAAGAAGGCCAGGCCTCAAGATGAAGATGCAGGGACCAGGCCTGCATGCTTCCCTGAGGGATAAGCAGCAACTTAAAATTATACTATAATTAGCACCACCTGGTCCAGTAAGTCCAGCTAGGCATCAGCCAAGCAGATGACCACAGCGTCCGAACCCTCCCTTCCCAAAGATACCTTTGTTTTTTCCATGTACCCTTGTTATGTGGCTCATCATTTCCTATTGTATCATTATTAGCTAAGCAGCTGTACTTGTAATCCTGTAGGTTGATTGTAGTTTGATCCATGTCATACCCACATTGTGACTTTGCTTTATAACTTACCCCAACAAACAGCCTCGGTAGCCATCCTATTTGGGACCCTTCCTGGAAATTCAGGAGCTATCCTATCCTTATTTCCAGTAAAACTCTCCTGGCTCCTTCCTTTGGTTTGCAATTTTATTCCTTGATGTGGGTGTTTGTTTATATTTTGGGTTTTGTTTTGGTTTCTCGAGACAGGGTCTCACTACATAGTTCATGCTGGTCTTGAACTCACTGTGTAGCTCAGGCTGGCCTGGAACTCCCAGCAGTCCTGCCTTAGCCTCCCGAGTGCTGGGATTACAGGCATGCGCCACTACACCCAGCTTCTGAACAAATTTTTAAATTTGATTCTTCTTTTCTGCCTCTAAGTGTATCCACCGAGAGTATATCCATGTTTGTTTCCTATCCCTCAGTTACTGCTTCCTGTACACTTACTGTGTTAGGCAGTATTTTATTACTTGTTCACACACTGAGCTCTTTGTTATGACTGCGTTAATGACTGCCATGACTGATGATAGCTAAGGTTTGATTTATAGTGTAGGCAGAGGTAGGAGGAATGTTTAGGAGTGCCTGGAATGTAGATACATGAGAAATTGTGCTTTGAATGTCAAATGAAGAAGTTTAGTAGACAAGGAATGCAGAGCTGTTTTTGAGCAGGAGACTGACCATGAGCCTTACACAGCTAGTTCTCAAAATGTGGCTGAATGAATGAGCGAGTGAATGAACAAAACCATGATCAGGCGTTTGAGTTACTTTATAAATGAGTTATCTTTGGAATTTGTTTCATATTTCCAGAGGGTAAACAAACAGTTTTAAGTATTGGGGCTTGTTTCGGTTACTTTTCTCTCCTTGCTGAGACAAAAATACCTGACACCCAGTTAAAGGAGGAAAAGTTTGTTTAGCGGACAGTGTGTGGAGGTTTCAATCCATAATCAGCAGGCTCTGAGGCAGGGTGGCAGGGCACAGAAGCGACATAGGAGGGCAGAAGACAGCAAAAGCAACCAGAGCACAAGCAGGGAGAGCAGGCCTCTTTTCCTCCCTTACAGTGTATGCGGTCTACCCACCCTGCCCTGGGGTGGTGTGGCACTCACCATCTCAAGCCCTCCTCTTGCTCAGGATGTGGATGTTTACAAAATGAGGACCCCAGCCCGCTACTGAGTCACTTAGTTACACTTCTAAACTTCTCAAGTTGACACAGTGAACATCCTAGAGCAGTGAGGGCATGTCCTCTACACACTAGGATGTGGAACAGCTGATTTACTTAGTTAAGCTTATAGATTTCTCAGGTTGACACAATGAGTCAACTGTTACAAGACTACTTGTATGTACTTTATGTGAAAGAATTCGAACACAGATTTGAGTCTTAAATAGTTTCTAATTTTGTTGAGAAAATATAAACACTTCAGTTATGTAAAACCATTACGCAAGTAAATAGTACTCAAATTGGTTGAAAATTTAGAACAAAAAAGTAATGAGTAGCATAGGGTTAATCAGGAAATAACCCTTGGAGGAAGTAATCAGAGGAAGTATGTGAGACAGAGGGAGATACTTGTCTCTAGAATTTGTAGAGAGGAGGACTGTACGAAATTATTCACATTCATTTTAGTGGAATTTTAACGTTAGCAGTTATAACGGATAAATGCTGCTATTTTTCTTACAAAATTCAGCTTTTAAAAGGAAAAGGAAGAAGGGTGATTCAACCTCATGATAGATCATGTTTTCTCACACTGGAGAGATACGAGGAGTAGGCAGATCAGTATTAACTTGGAAGGAGGTGAAGGAAAGTGCTTGCTAGAGCTCATAGCATGTAAACATATCTTGCCTCTTCCTCATTTCACTGAGTGAAAGGTGTCCATAACCACATCTTAAGTTCTTCCTCAGTCCCCTACAAAAGTTCAACTGTTGATGTTCTTTTTTTTTTTTTTGCTCACCCCCCACCCCCGTACTGGGAATTGAACTCACGACCTTGTGCTTGCCAGGCAGGCGCTGTGCCACTGAGCTAAATCCCCA